TCAGCAGCCTCTTCCTAGAAGGGAGGGGGGTTCCCGGCCGGTGTACCTGACGTCACCCTTGTGCCTCCCGGGCAGGCGGCTGGACCGCAGTGTGTAGAGCAGCGCCGGGACCCCGCGCACCGAGCACAGCGGCACGAGAACCGCGGCCGCCGCAGGTCGCGCGCGGAGCCGGGCCGTGGCCCCCGCCAGCAACCGCCGGCAGCGCCGCTCGCCCTCCGCCGACAGGCAGTCGGGCAGCATGTCAGGCCCAGCACGGCCGGGAAACCGAGGTCACCGGGCCGCGAGAGAAAAGGGGCAGAGCGCACACTCCAGGGTGTCTCGGGAATCTGTGGGGCGGGCCATGGGAGGAGTCTGCCCGCAGGGTGGGGCTCCGTAGCGGCACCGGCCTCGCCCACGGGGCGGGGCCCGATTAAGGGGCGGGGTCCAGGCCGGGAAGGGGCCTCTCCGCGAGTTGTGGGGCGTGGCCAGAAGGGGCGTCACCAGATAGCCTGGACTTCCGGTAGAGGGGCGGGCCTGGGGCGGGCCTGGGGCGGGCCTGGGGCGGGGCGGAGCTGGCGTGGATGGTCTGGAGAGTGTCCCTTACGAACGCCTAGAGCAGCTGGCGTCGCGCCTGGCCCGGCGACCGGGCTCGGCCGTGCTGACCGCGGGGTTCGCGAGTCGGGGTGTCTGCCTGTTGAGGCCCTGCCGGGACCCGCGTTTCTCCGCGCCCGCGGGGGTCCGGGACCTCAGAGGAAGTGCTCCAGGATGTTCGGGGTCGGCGTTTAGGGGATCTACGGGGCAGAGACGCCTGGGGCCGCGAGAGGAGTGCCCGGCCCTCCCCACCCTCCGGGCCCTCTCTCCTGGTTCCACTGGGTGGCACACACCGCGCCCTCTCGCTCCAAGGGCCCCACTCCATTCCCCGGCCTTCTCCCTGCTTTTCCCGCCGCCGCCGGGAGCTCGTCTCTCCTCCCGACCCCAGTGCTCCCTAATTTCTACTCTTATAGGTGTTGGTTTAAATGTCACTTTCTCTAGAAGCTCTCCTACCTGGAATGTTGATCGGATTCTCAAACTCCTCCCGCCACCCTCACCTTGATCCCTGTGGTCACTGCCTGTGGTGGTGTGCACCCCTCGGCCAGACTCTGCACACCCCAGCCTCGCACTTAGCACCTAAACGTGGAATGGCAGTTGTCCCATGTTTTGCTTCGACTTTGAACGGCTGCTTCCCTGAGCTGCAGTTTCAGTCCTCATCTGGGCACACGAGGCAGAGGGCAGGAACGCAGCCTCCTTCACAGCCCTGCCACTCAGCATGTGTCGCCACCTTTACCATCACTCTGTGCTCCCAGGGATGCCAGCAGCACTGGGCAGAGCTTTGCGATGCCTGCAGCCCAGACTCTGGGGTGTGGGCATTCCTGAGGCCCTCCGCCTTGGCCTCCAAGGACAGAAGTGCAGCTGACCACCCATTCCAAACAGTTTAATGTTGCAGGGAAGAGAGAGGTAAAGCAGGGTTTGGAGGAGTCACCCCCAAGGCAGAAGGGGGCAGGTTGGGAGGTAGGGGCTCTGGTTCCAAGCCTGACACCATCCCAGCTTTGCTGGAACTCTGGGTAGGTAGCTTTCCTCTCTGGCTTCCACCTGCCCTGCTCTCCTTGTGAGGGGAGGATGTCTCTGCAGAGGTGAGGCTGAAGAGGGGGGGCTCCAGGGTAAGAGGACTCTGTCCACAGGGCCCTCTACCATCACTGCGGGTCCTGGCCAGGCCCCAGGCGCACTGCAGTGCGGGAGAGGAGCCCCAGCCCAGCTGGGAAGGGGAGGCCCCCCTGATCCCAGTCAGCCTGGATATTGGGTAGGGGGTATGGTGTCGGTCGGGCCCTTGGGATTCGGAGGGGGCTTTAGGCTCCAGGGTACAGGCCCTGGTAGGTGAGGGGCCGGTAGGTGGCTGAGGCCAGCAGAGCCTTGGGAGCCAGCAGCTGATGGTGGAGCCTGGCAGGGGTCCTGGAGGTGAAGGCTGGAGCTTTGTTGGGGTCTGAAGAAGGAAATGGTGTGAGTGGGCCCCAGACCTCCCCTCACACCTTCAGCCTTCCCGTCCCCTTCCCTGCCCCTCCCACCCCAAGTTGCCCACCACTTAGCCTTTGTGCTTGCTCTTCCCTCTGCCTGGAATTTCTTCCGCACCTTCTCCCTCTGTCCAAACCCTTCCCAGTCCTCCAAGGCCCAGCTCGGGAACCACCTCCTCCAGGAAGTCCCCCCGACCCCCCTGTCCCTGCTCTCAGCAACTTGTCCCGGCACTGTTCTCTCTGCCGTGGGTCCCAAATTGTCTCAGAAATCTCTGCCTCACCCTCTCTGTCCACACAGATGTCCAGGGAGCTTGCTGAGCATGCTGAAGCCCCTTCCTGGGGGCCCTGTGGCCCTGTTCACTACGCAGGCTCTGGTCCCACTGTGTCTGTGGGCCTGGGGCCTGACCTTTCTCCTGCTCTGTGGAGCCCTTCAGCAGGCAGGGGCAGAGGCTGCTGCGACTCCGGGTCCGGACGCTGAGCAGGGGCCGTGGAGATATAGGCCTGCAGAACTGGGGCAGGGGATCAAGATGGAGAACCCAGGCCAAGGGTCATGGTCAGAGTCAGACAGTGGGACCCCGGAACAAGCCAGTGGGCGTGACCCTGAAGGAAGGGTCGGAGGCCTTAGGAGATGCCTGGGGATAGGGATGGGGTGAGGGGGTAGGTTAGGGCAGCTGGGTGGGACTGTCAGGGGCCAGACGGTACCAGGAGTCCGGGTCACTCTCCCTAAAGCCCCTTGGCAAAAGGGTTGCTGGTGGTTTTCAGCTGGGTGATCTGCAGAGGAGAAAGGGTAATTATGGACCAGCCCTGAGCTGGCGAAAGGCTGTGGGGCCCAGGCTCAGCCTCCCTCTCCTCCCTGGACCACCCCGTCCCCAATCTGGAGGCCCTGGGACCTGCCCCCCTCAGCCCAGGAACCTCAGAGCCAGTGGGCATGAAGGCAGGGGAAGGACTGTGGGTAGATGCCCATTGAGTCTGGGAAGGAGAGAAGGGCAGGGGTCTGTGTGCCTGTGGGGCCTAAGAGCCTGGCACCTCAGTTTCCCCCCTGTGAGGTGGGCTGGCAGCTGCCTCACAAGCTGTGCCTGACCCACCCGGTGGTTCTGATATGCCGTCACGGCCATGAACTGGGTCTCCGTGAAGATGAAGGACTTGAAGTTCTCCTGCGCGTAGCGCTCGCTGTCTTTGTGTGGGTCCACGAAGACCACGTGGAAGCGCAGCTGGTAGCGGTGCATGGGGCTGAGAATGATCTGCGGGGGCGGTGCGGAAGGGGTGGGGCAGCCGCAAACCCTCTCTGAGGCCGAAGCCCTTCTTCCAGGGCCCGCTGCCCCCATCTGATAGCGGCGGTGCCGGGTCTGAACTTGAGAGTCTGCAGTTCTGTATCAAAGGCCCCTTTGTTGGAGCATCCAGGCTGCTTGGTGTCTCTCACTCCCACACCCCAGCTGTCTCAGAACTATCCGGGATCTGACCACCTTTCCCACCCCACTGGGTCCACCCAGCCGGGCCACTGTCATCTTTCTCCTGGATTTCCGCAGCTGCTTCCTGGCTGCACTCCCTTCACACAGCAGCCCCAGTGAGTCAGCTCAGAGCCCTCCTGTGGCTCCCGAGCTACACAGAGTAAAGACCAGAATCCTCTCCACAGCCAACTGGCCCTGCAGAGCAGTGCTGGATGCCCCTAGGATCCCTTCCCCTCCCACTGCCCCTCTGAGCTCCACCCCAGCCAAACGGGAGTCTCCTCACAGCTTCCTCAACTCCCCAGCATTCTCCAGCCTCAGGGCCTTTGCACTTGCTGTTCCCTCCGCCTGCAACGGCTCCCCCTTCTATATGCACAGGCTCCCTCCTCCACTTCCATCAGACCCCTCTTCAAATAGCGCCTCAGCTGCTTCCTGAGCCCCCTGAACTCAACGGCCACCTCCGTCTCAGCCCCGCTCCCTGTTTCCTTTTTCTCCTGGCATTTATCACCCTTCTGCCACCTGGATTCTTTGCTTACCATCTGCCTGGTACCCCAGGAGGTGAGCCCCCATGAGGGCAGGGATCTTTGTCTGTTTGACACAGTGTCAGTGGTGCCGGGTTCCTGCACCTACGAGGGCCTGGCCCACCTGCCTGGCAGTTTCTGCTGTCTGACCCCCGGCCAGGTGAACTCAGGCACCAAAGGCCCAGTCAGCCCTGGCTCGGGCTTCATCACAATCAGGCCCCAGCGTCTCCTGCCCTGGCCCAACCCCTCTGCACTGTGGCCCAGGCCTCACGTGGCCGTTGTCGTCCAGCAGGTTGTTGGTCAGCTTGAGCTTGTCAAAGGACACAATCTGGCGCATCCACTGTGCGCCCTTGGCCGGCGAGTCGGGGTGGAAGTGCACGTGGCCAGGCATGGTCGGGTCCGCCTTGCCCGCCACCAGCCAGGCCAAGCTATGGAAGGTATACCTGGGGACAGAGCGAGGTGGCGAGGGTGCCCCGACTGCAGCCCACGGCACCTAATCTGCTGCCGCCACCCGGAGCCAAGACTGACAGGGAATCTCTCCTACTGCCTGTGCACCGGCCCCGTCAGCACATGAAGAACCGGAGGCTCCAGAGTGCTGTCTGGCCTGGGTTCACCGTGGCTGCATCTGCTGCCCTGGGCTAGCCCATCCTACCTGCCCAGGTGTGCCCACTGCTGCCCAGGATGGACCCCGCCCGACACTGCTCCGACTGGCCCCTGCCTCCCTCAGGGTGCTGGGGGGGGGGGTCTACTTCCCCGACCAAGTGCCTGAGGTCTGAACTGTGACCCCCAGCCGGGCCCGGACCTGTACCTCTTGTCATCCAAAGGCATGAAGTCCATGAGCAGGGCATAGTCAGCCAGCGTGTCCATGCCCAGGATCTTCACCTGGAAGGTGGGGAACATCCTCCTGCAGGAGGGGGTGCTCAGCAGCCCAACTGTGGTTACGGCCTGCCCCCA